TCCGTCATTTGCCTGAGGGATGGTAGGGAGTTCAAGGGGCATTTATGTTGGTTTGGGACGGCTACGGTGCCGCCACGTTTGGCGTGCCTGCGCCAATGGTTCAGGGGCTCGAATGGTGGGAGTCAGGGTGGTGGGTTCCTTCAGGTTCACCCTGCTGGTCTCCGAATGGATTTCTCACCGCGGTTACGGTCCCCTCGGAAAGGGGATGGTGGGATGCTTGTATGTAATTTGGGCCAGGAGGTGGGGGTGAGTGGTTGGATCTTACGCCTTCGGGAGCGGAGGTTCACTGGTCTGGCACCAGTTACATGGAGGGGGTGTGGTCCTCCTCGTACGGGGTCAGCTTTCCCGCCTCATGGAGGTACCAGGGTTTTTTGTCATCTCTGGGTGGAATGACATGAGTTCGGTGAGGTTTTGGGTATTGGGTGCTCTTCAATCTGGACATGTTGCGCATTCTGTTTCTTCCCTGAGGTTCTCAGGGGCTAGGCTGAGGCTATCTCTGTTCCTGTCGGCAGTGCACTCAGCAATGTGACTGCCCTGGTGCGATGCCATAAATATTATAACGAGATGGGTTTCTGGGTTTGTCTTGGGGAATTCCAGTTCACCTTAGGGTTTGGCCGGACGCGGCCTAGTTATCTCTAGAGGATGGGTGCGCTTGCTGGAGGTCGGAATAGGCTTATGTTAATCTAGCTCTGCACGAAGTGGTGGAACAGGCCATGGCTGGTTATGGTGCGGTCCCCCGCTGATTTTAGGTGTAAAACAGCGGGGTTGTGGCGGGGGTATGTCCTTGCCAATTGAGTTTGAGTGGTTACGTTTAAGTATATGGAATGAGATCAACAAGTTTTTTTAGTCTCAACCTCCCCTGCTTCAAAAGGTTAAACATTAGGTTGCCTGAGGTGTTGTGCCCATCGAGCGTGGATAAGGTCGGCTGATGGCGGGCATTGGAAATATATGATTTTTATGACGAGGGGGGAGGTGAGACAAAGTGGTGATTAGGAACCACTGTATGTTTATTGGCAAGGACGATTGAGTCACTGTATAACACTATGGGTGGAGTTATATATGTATATATGTTAATTTATGATTATTTATGTCTAACGTTTTGGTTACAGAAAGAAGAGATTTAATAAATAAAGTTATGGATGTGTTATGCAGTAATTTAGTTTGTGATAATAAATGCTGTGGCCTGTTCATCCATACTAAGTGGCCTGTCGTTATTGGGGGGGTAAATGGGTTTAGATTTGTGCTAGGCTGCATCGCGATTCCCCACTACGTACATACATGAGATCCGCATAAGCTGAATCAGGGTTCTGGTATGTGGCTGCACAAACGCTGGTGCTCAGCACCAGGGGGCGTGCGGTTGCCCCGCACCAGGCCCTGATAATCCACTTCCACGCTGAAGACTCCCACTTCTCATCAGACACTCAGGGGTCCCGGTTTCTGTACCACCACCCTGACAAACACTTCCCCTGGGGTTAAATATTATATGCCTTTCTAAAAAATCGAGAGGAAATATAGACTCCATCCCAGACAACACCATGCATCTTATCACAGTAAGTATATAGCGCCCGGGGGACTTCAAACCATTATGGTATTCTATGCCCCCGCAACAGCTTTTAAGCTCATTTAATAACGGCATTAAGAGGTTAAGATTGATATAAAATATTTATTGTTTCGAACATTTCTTTTATATGTTTATCATAGTCGTTTTCTATTTATAAGGATCATTGTCTCTACTTGACCTCAGGAAGAGAGATCTCTAACAGTGTAATCAGGTGATGTCATGCTGTGATGTCATAGATGTAACTGCTGCTGTAACTGTTTGAACATTTTATTTCCTCCCAGTTGTAACTGAGGCTCTGACAGAGCTTCACCTATACTCATGGTTCTCTTACCATCTCAATGGTGTAAAGACCGATGCCTCACTTGGATGTGTCTGAAGACTTGGATCTTGACTATCTTCAATCTAATCGTAGCTTTGGACTTTCTAGCAAGTGGCGTTATAGTTTGCGCAGCATATTCATATACCTTTCTCAAAGATTGGTGCTTCTTCAATGGGGATGAACTTCATTTTATGCTTTGCGTGTGCTGCGTGCGATGGAAGAATTGCAAATGAGGAATTGGGGAATTAAGAAAAAATGCTAGTGAACAACATTAATTCAGGTATACTCTATTAATCTAGATATATCATTCTGCTTTAGAATTCTCTCTTTCTCTGTCTGACTGTCCGTCTGCCTGTCTCTGTGTCTGTTTATCTATGTCAGTAAGTTAGTCAGATTGCCTGTCTGTTTTTTGTTGTTGGTGTGTGTGTGTTTGTTTTTCTTTATGTCCAGACTGTCTATTGAGGATAGGCATCTAGTAGTTATGTAGAGATTTGCATGCAAGAACCAGAATTTTAAGTTTATCCCTTATGTACATAGCATAACTTTATAGTGAAGGAAGTAAGGCACAGAATGAGACTTTCCACAGCAGCATTCAGCAGTTGTGGAGCATTTTTGGAGGTATTGGGTCAGCTTGATGTACTAAGGTTGTAATTGGGGGCACTTAGTATGTTTAAATATAGGAGGTGCCTTGATATCTAGTTGAGCGGAGAGGGTGGAGTTGTAGACGAAGGTTACAGAGCTAGATAGGTAAAAGGAGAGTTTGGAGGTTGGTGGAGAAATGCTGTAGGTCAAAACAGTGGAGGTTTCTGCTAGACTAATGTACTGACGGTGGCATAATTTGGGTATGCCAATGTCAAAGGTCAGTAGATGGTGGTCAGATAGAGGAAACAAGTCACAATAGGCCAGAAAGACCAGGAAACACAGGGCCAGGAAGCAATGGAAAGCCTTTGGGATAGTATAGGTAGGACAAGCAAACATGAAGTCCTTAGCAGGATAATCCAAGCAGGACCAGGCAGACAAATGTTAACCCAGGAATCATGGCAAAGAAGGCTTGTAACCTCTAAAACTTCTATGTTTTCAGCTGCAGGGTCAAAACTAGAGGGACCTGGCACCCAGACCACTTCATTGAGCTGAAGTGGTCTGGGTGCCTATAGTGGTCCTTTAAGAGGTGTTTTGCAACACTATTGTCCATATAGTGTATGTAGTTGTCAAATAAGAGTATATATTTTTTAGATGCCTGCAATGTCCAATTAATAAGTTAAATATACTTAATTTAACAGCTTTATTTTGGGGTTGGGGAGCAGAGGATGCCTTAGAATATTGTATCTGTAGGCACCTGACATGTAATTCTTGCCCTGGAGATAATCTATTAAAGATACATAAAGCACTTCGGACTGGTGTCTGGAGTCTGTCATATTTGTGATAGAAATCAGCACTTATATCGAAGTACTCTAAAACCGCTCCCCCCAGTTGTTAATTAGACAGCCAGGGAAGTTTTTCTTCCAATTCCGTTGCTCCACAAAGCTAATGGAAGTGGCAGGCGTGCTGGGCTAACATCCACCTGTCTTCAACCCTTCTCAATGAGCTTAACTACAGCTCACTGAGAAGCATAGGAAAGCTTTTGGCTTGCAAAGGTCTGCAGCTTTTGCAAGCTATTTTTTAATATATCCCTAAGGAAAATACGCAGAAAAAAAATACATGCATGTTTTTGAGTGTTCCTTGAGCAATTGAGCAATTGAGTGTTCCTTTAAACACATCTAAAGAGTGGTCTGATGTCCATGGCTGCAGACTTGACAACATTTCTAATCTGTACCTCTAGGTGGCACTCAAGCTCTGAATGAATATTGAAATAAAAACAATCAATATGTTCGAAACAGTAAAAATATTATCATATATAAACAATGGGGACGGTATTTGTACATGAAATTGCAGCAACATTTGGAAAAAACGCCGGTAGTTAAAATTGCCACACATAGAATTAAAATGAAAAAGGAGAAATAAAAAAAAATAAGTTTACCTATGTAAAAAAATAAAATATTTACTATTAATCTAGATATATCATTCTGCTTTAGAATTCTCTCTTTCTCTGTCTGACTGTCCGTCTGCCTGTCTCTGTGTCTGTTTATCTATGTCAGTAAGTTAGTCAGATTGCCTGTCTGTTTTTTGTTGTTGGTGTGTGTGTGTTTGTTTTTCTTTATGTCCAGACTGTCTATTGAGGATAGGCATCTAGTAGTTATGTAGAGATTTGCATGCAAGAACCAGAATTTTAAGTTTATCCCTTATGTACATAGCATAACTTTATAGTGAAGGAAGTAAGGCACAGAATGAGACTTTCCCCAGCAGCATTCAGCAGTTGTGGAGCATTTTTGGAGGTATTGGGTCAGCTTGATGTACTAAGGTTGTAATTGGGGGCACTTGCTATGTTTAAATATAGGAGGTGCCTTGATATCTAGTTGAGCGGAGAGGGTGGAGTTGTAGACGAAGGTTACAGAGCTAGATAGGTAAAAGGAGAGTTTGGAGGTCAAAACAGTGGAGGTTTTCTGCTAGACTAATGTACTGACGGTGGCATAATTTGGGTATGCCAATGTCAAAGGTCAGTAGCTGGTGGTCAGATAGAGGAAACAAGTCACAATAGGCCAGAAAGACCAGGAAACACAGGGCCAGGAAGCAATGGAAAGCCTTTGGGATAGTATAGGTAGGACCAGCAAACATGAAGTCCTTAGC